AAGAGTGTTCTTTATTAACTAGGTATCAAGGTCTATCATGCTTAAGATTCCACAAGATAATACTGAAATATAAAATAGGGCCCCTCTCACTATCAAATTGATCATTTAACTTTGGAAGGAGCCCAAAATTGAAGTAGTGGACCCCATATCACTTCTTATAGTTCTCTTTCATTCTAGAAATGTTAGTGTAAAACAGTATAAGAGAAAGATTTACCTCTTTTAAACTCTCTTTACAGAGTGGACACTGTGGGGCATGATCTAAACAACGTTCTAAACAGTTCTTGCAAAAAGTATGGCCACAGGGGGTTGTTACTGGCTCAAAGAATAGCCTGAAACAAAAATTATAAAATTAAAACTTTTCAAGAAGATTTAATTAGACAAAAAACAGTAAATATACAGATTATCTACTTTAAATGAGAAAAATCTGGGAAACTGCGAGTTTCCCCTTGCAGGCTGACAGAGTTCCAGCCACAGCTGGACCCCATGTCCTGATATGTGAAGGGGCAGGGAGAGCTCTGATGTTACATGGTAAAAAAAAACAACACCCCACCCCCCAAAGTGCTAAAATGTATAGGTATTTAGAATTTTTTTATTATAATGATTTAAGCACTGGTAAGCTTCCAAATTGCTTTAAAATGGTAAATATATTAATAAAGCAGTGTGTTAAACTGATACACCCCCCCCCCATGGGGCATGGCATTTTAATCATGAAAAAAAAAAAAAAAAAAATCAAATTTGAGGGGTTTGATTGGAGAATTTGGGATTTTTAAACAGAGAAAACCAAGATTCCTGGTAATCAAAATCAACATTGAGCATCCCGATATTCTATACTTCATACTTCAAACACAAACCTTGATTGTGTTTTGATTTCCTTGACTATGATGGGGATAGGAACATAAAACATACTTATGTGCGTACACAGATGCACAGAAATGTGGTTAATACATTAACTTAAAGCAATATTATAATGGTCATACATTTTAACTACCATGCACACGCCATAATTACTTCTGATATTTGGCACACAACGTGACCTAAAGACTAAACAGGTACACTCGAATCTATGAAATCTATATAATAAATCCCCTTAGTTGCTCTGCTCTGAGAATCTCATCCAGTACATGGAGATTTTAACTAAAAAGCTAATATAAGTTAGAGCTGAAATACTATTTATCTACCAAAACAGAACTCCTAGATAAAAATAAAAGATGCGTTTTCACCTTAAAGATTTTTCCTTCCTTGTATGGAGTAACTGATACTCAAATTGAAGCAAAAATTGCTATCAATTTGTGTCCCAGCGTTAAATATTATATCCTTAAAACACTCTTCTACTTAAACCTAGGTTTTAATTTTAATTAATAGTACATATCTAGGACAAGACAGCCTTTTACACATATATAAGTTATTTACCTACACATTAACACACAGCTGTTACGAAGCTACTATAAAACTACAAACTGTTACCTCATACACAGAGAGCATTCAAAGTCAGATACATCAACCAAGTCCTCTGGAATTGTTCCACAAACAAGTGCAATATCCTTTTTTGTAGTTTCTAAGGGAAAAACAAGTCACATAAATGAGGGCAATACAAAACACGGTAAGTATCTAGCCTTGCAAATAAATGATTATTTACCTCCTTGTTTTTTAAGTTTGCTTCTTCCATCTTCACACAAAAGCATATCTTGTTCTGAAAGGGAAAGCTTCCTTTTCAGCAAAGCACCCTTCTCCTGGCCAGACAGTAGAGGTTCAGAAGAAACCCTTTTTAGTCCATCTTCTTTGGCAAATTTTTCTGTTGAGTTAAGAGCATGGGCAGACTGTGCACGATTTAGACTTGCATTGACAGACTCGACTGTTACTTCTGATCCTCCCAATTGCTATAGAAAGGAAATGAACAAAGCTAACTGTTTAAACACACACTTCCAAAATACAGCTAATTATTTATTACAATTAAATATTATTAGAAAGAGAAAGTACATTTAGATAGATACACTGGCTAATTAAGACATTTCACAAGCTAAGGCAATTTAAAGACTATTTAAAAATTCAAACCTAGTTTTCTACCAAGGGGAAAAATAATTTTGGAAAAAAGATTACGAGCAGTGGTTTCACATGGTCTGTTAAAGCCTGCATTATACACATCACTCTACCCCTTCCCTCCCTGTCCTCAGCTGATTCATGAAAAGGATCACAGAAGACTATCTAGCAAAAAGAAAGGCACACGCACAATAGCGAAAAGCTGATCAACAGAAGAATGATAAACATCTTAGGTGCCAGTTTTTGTAGTTTCCTACCAAACAAAGAAAACAGACTGCCTTATCCAATAGCTCTTATTACTTACCTGCTGTGGAGAAAGTTGTATTTCGTAGTAAGACTCTTCCATCGCAGAATCAAGTGCCAAAGGTTTACTTCGAATATGTGGTGAACTCCAAGCAGATTCCTTCAGACTTTCTCTCACAGTTTCTGGTGACAGCAAATCACAAAGTGTCTAAAAGAAAAACATCTTAATATTAGTATTATTGAGAGAGTCAGTTATAGCTTCAGTAAACAAACATCCATATATAAAACCACTTATTTAATGAATAATCTATATACCAAATATGAAGTTTAGTTTTTGTCAATATCTTTTCACCTATCTTCTCTCCCTTTTCAGTTGCAGCCTAGCTTCAGCTAAGCTCCTTGCTTTAAAAGGGTCACAGCCCCACCTATAACTACGCAAGAACTTACTCTGAAATTCCTTCCCTTACAGTAAGGGAATACCACCTTTTCAAGTATGGTATAGTTAGATCAGTGGTGCTCAACTGGGGTACTGAGTACTTTCTGCTTCCAAGAGACGCTTGGCTGGGTCAGATTGTGAAGGGCCAGAACATAAGCAAGTTCTCCTGCCTACTTTAGGCTGATCAGAGAAACCCAAACTTGGAAGAGAATGTGCATGTGCCTTCCCATTCTGGCTGTACAGCAGGTGCATGGGGCAGTTTTACCTGGCATCACCTAGTTGAGAAGCACTTGAGGTAAGCTGAACACAACAGTGGTTCTCAACTGAGAATACCACCACTTTTGAAGTTGTGGTGGGATGCCCTGATTCTGAAAAGGTTGAGAACCATAGATAACTAGTTAAGATTTGTTTTGGCAAAAATTATATTGATTTGTATTGCACAAATGTAATCCACAAACTACTCTCCTTAAAGTGCAAGATTTCAGTCATTTAATTTCTCCTTCATTTTGTTTTGCATTTGTTGGAGAGTAAGATTTCTTTAAAGATGGAACAAACTCAGTTTTATTTGAAAAACCATATCAATTACAAGTCTCCTCTAACCTAACTTTTTGTAGAACCTTTACATGTGTAAAATTTTCATTTTATCCATTATGATCATTTACTGAACATAAAGGTAGATTTGTCTGAAAAAGGAAATAGTCCAAACTTAATTTGAGTTTTATCAGTATGAACACAGTGGAATTGAGGATAAATACATTTAATGGTATGGAGCAGCTTCGAAAGTCAGGGGGAAGAAGAGGAGCAGGGGAAAAGTTGCTTCTCGGGAGTATCTAGCAGCTGTTATGCTGCGTTAACAATGCAAGAGCCTGCAGCCATACAAAAGATAGCAATACCATGACAATTTTAACCCTGCTTCACCCAGGGCCAGACAGGGACTATTTAACTCACTTTTACTGCTACAGGCTCATGCACAGCTAAGTTACAGCATAACATCTGCTGTACACTCCCAAAAAGATTGTGAAAGACTTGGTAACTCTTAGTATTAAGTCATAAGTATCCAAGACAGAAAACCAGTTTATACATGCTGAATTACCTTTTCTACTTCTATCTTTGCTGGAATAAAATCCTCATCAAGAGCTAAACACTGCAGAAACAGTTTTAAGGCATCACCTATGAAGCCAGAGTCATGGAGCACTTTTGCTTTCCTGAAGTAGACCTAAGATTAATACAGATAGATATCCAATTTAAGAAATTAAAATATTAGTATTACAACAACTAAAGCATCAAACTTGTTTTCTCTCTCACTAAAATGGAATTAGAGTAGAGGCTTCACGTTATTTGACAGATCTTTAGATGTCTATAGGAGGGAAACATGTTCTCTATTGTCTTTCTTCTACAGGTATTTAAGGCATCTGAGAACACTGTACTATTACTACTGTTTCAGCAGGTCCACAGGGAGAAAAGGCGGGGTAAGAAAAGGCCTTTGTGGATGCTGGTGGTTAAGGGTAGATACTCTTGAAGATGGCAGGAAGAGGTATGGGAAAGTTCATTGCTAAATCCTTTGCCTCAGCTCAATGAGCCTTTTGGTGGGAAAAAAAAATCCCTTTTCTTCTGACAAGCTTCAATGATGGGTTACGTAAACCACCTTACTGCTCCCCCTGCCAAAACCCTCTGCTCTAAAACCTGCAGGAAACGCACACATGCACATACTGGGGGAGGGGAGAGCAGAGGGAAAAATCTAATATTCAGTACTCATCATAGGTCACATTAAGTTCACCTGCACTCATGTGCCTAATAAGAATCAAGAATAATTGAAATTTCACTTAAATCAACCAAACTCTGTTCCCCAAACTAGTTAACAGCTTATTTTCTCCTGTCTGTTTTACTACAAAGCAGCAAAGACTAAAAGATTTTAAAGTTCTGATTGTCTTAAATATCTGGGGTTTCATAAACCTTTGCATTCAGAAACCCTTGTCCAAACCCTTTGTCTAACCCAACTAAGCTATGTTAGCCTCAAGGTGTGTAGATTAAAGCCAGTATGATTTATATTTTGCCTTCTATTGAAAACCACCCTGACCCTTTTTGGGAAGGGCAGCATAAAAAAACTAACAACCAACTAAAATACCTATTTTTATGGTGAAGGCACATGAACTAAAAGATAAACCCACACACACTTCCATGGGAAGAACTGACCCACTTATGTTGCAACTACGTAACAATAAAAGGAAGTGTTTATTTAATTTGTTTACTCTGTGCATCTGACTACATGTTAAGTCTCTTCTACTTCATGATCTAGCAAAATCACTGCCTCCATTTCTACCAGGTTCTTTTTGTGTGTGTGATTGCATTTCTAAAGAGAGAAAATGCCAATTATAGGACAACAAACCTATAAAAAGTAGTTCAAGGTAGGTTTAGTACCTGAACATAGCTTAAAAAAGAACTTCTGAAAAGGATTAGATTTCAAAAGTTAAATGTCAGAAATGCTGCAGACACCATGAGGATTTTTTGCAAGGCTTCCTTGTTTTAAAACAAACCACTGAGTGAAAGCAGCCCCTGTCTTTCACAAACCTTCCATTTCATGAATTTGCTTGCCTGCTTCCTTTCCATTCCCCACAACAGTCATACAAAAATGCCGTGATGAACAATTTAAAAACAAACCTAGAGTTAAGCAAAGTAGCTGGAATTGTGACAAAGACCAAAGACACTGCAGAAGTAAAAAAAAAAAAAGCCTCAATGGCCTGTCTTGCCTTCCAAATGCCTTATCAAAATTGTTCTAGAAAGCTTGCATAGAGCAGAAGTTCTCAGGCTGCTTTGTTTGATTTTGCCAATGTTTGGCCTATATAACAAGCCCCTGTCAAAAATACAGTCTATAAAATAAGCAGAATGATAATAGACTTGCTTGTGCAGAAGCAAATCCTCATAGTCTGTGTCATATAAAACTTTATAGATTTTTTTTTAAAGTATAGCATGAAGAAAATCCTAAAGAGCTAAAAAAATTAAGCAGAACGAAAACAAAGCAGCTATACACAAAAGCACATAATATAAATTCCATTATTTAATGTTTTTTAAATCAAATGTTTAGATACACTTCTCTGAAAAAAGTTTTACAAGACAAAGCCAAGGTCAATCAAATTAATCTGGTGCAACTTGAGCAAAATTTGTCATTTTTTATGCACATTCAGGTTTTTTAAAAATATGCAAATTACTCATCAACTTACCTCTGGCCAATTTGGCATTTTAGAGATAACAAAATTTAGATCTTCTACAGCTGTTTTAAATTCATGGAGGCCAGCATATGATTCAGCTCTGTAAATCCTTAACATCAAGTCACTGGGATCTGAAAACAAAATGTTTACTTCATTAAGAAATGTATGCATTTATATAATTATCATCCCAGTTAAATACACACACTCACTCACTCCCTCACTCCCTCCTAGAAGATAATAAAAGCAACAACTATGCTAGATTAAAAGAATGTAGGACTGCTATAAATCTGAAGGGCTGTTTTTTTGGGGGCGGGGGGGGGGGGGTTGCAATTTTTTGCAAATGTATAGAACATATTAGAAATGTATAGACTTTTTTTGCAACTGTATTGAACTGGTTACCTTATGTCAAAGATATATATACATTTTTTAAATTTTAAAACTGCTAAGGATAGAGCTACTTTTGGAGTTAAAAATGAACATACAGGTAAAATTTGATATATACTCAAGAATCCCAGAATACATGCATTTTGAAAGTACTTAATATATAATGCAAACACCCAAAAGTTAGGGTATTGGCATATGAACAATGTACTATATAGAAGACTGTCCAAATGACAGCTTGTGAGGGGATATGTAGCCCCTGGGCTCTTAACCGACCACCACTCTCCAGGTTCCTCCCTTCCCCTTCAGCTGCTAATTCCTGCCTTCACCCCAGGGGGCAGTGCAGTGGGGCTGCTGGGTAGAAAGGGAGTGGACAGGCAAATGAAGGGATTACACTTGTGAGACCATATGGTGCCATGGTGATTCAGGGGGAACATCTGTGTAGTACAGTATGTGGCCCCTGGGGTCTTAGAAGTTAGACAGCCCTGATATAGTTTTACCAGAGCAACTGACATGTTGATTTAATGCATGCTCTTACTCCTCTCTGAGGACTAAATTTAGCTACCTCTTGCCACAGGGTAAGAATGAATAGATAATGTCTGGTTAATGCACATATGCTACTCCACACCAATTGTCCATATGTCCACACATAGATTCACTGTCATATACTTATTTTGTTTAGACTGATATCTAAAATCAAATTATTTAAAAATGTACATTTAATATCCTCCTGCCACTGCAAAACCATTTGTAACATTGTATTAGTATTTACTACAATATGATCTGATGCCAATCAGCATAATTATCACTGTGCTGTCTGAACAGAGTTCGGGGCTGCTGCATATTACTCCCACTGTAGGGATCTGCATTAGCAGCACCATCAAAAGAGAAAATTTTTAATAAGAGTTCAGTGTAAAGAAGAGTGTTGAAACCAGGATTCAGCATTTTGTGTTCCTACTGGAACAGCTACATCCATAAGTCTTAAAAGTCTCAAACTCAGGTCCTGATAAATAGAAAGAGTAATGATCTCTGATTAAAATTACAAGTGAAAGCAACTCTGGCTAATGTTCCCAGTTCTTTGTTAGATGTTTTAAAAAGCCTTTGGTTTTTAATGTTCATCTTTAGATTTAGAATAAGGCAAGTATCAGCCTTTCTGAACTGATACAAGTTAAAATTGCAAATTTTCAAATCAAACCATTGAGAACCCATTTGGTTGTGAGCCAGGAAAAAAATTAATATTAAATTCAATGCATTTGTACACCCAAGGCCCTTCTAAATGCTAGTTTACTTTCACTGTTTCTGTTGTAAAACTAGTTTTACCTTTCATTTTGCCATAGAGCTGGCTGGTTAGTTTCACATTGGCCCCCAACTTATGCTATGGGTTTGAGTTCACAATGCCTACAAGTAACATGCAAAAAGGACTACAAAGCCACAAGTGGCAAGGAAGCTCAGTGACCAATTCAGTACCTGCAGCTATGCAACTTTGTCAATTCAAAAATCTAATCAACTGAGAAACGTGTACCTTTTGAAAACAAAGCCACAATTGATATCAAACTGTATTTCAAATATTGGAACATTTCTAATTATCAAGGGTTTTAGATATTCTAATTTTCCAGACTTCAGCTTCATTTTTAAAGCCTAAAATCAGTTGATAATGTTCTTTTAACATGTTTTACTCTTTTCTTCTTTTTTAGAAAAAGGACAGCTGTTGACTGAAAAGGTACAAGATGATGCATCAAGATAAAAACATGCTTATACGTTCCCAAGATCTGGGCTTTATTTGTATTTGAATTTTTGCAAGAATAATCTAATGTTAGAATATGTGCTGTCAAAGCCAGCACAATCATTTACTTTCCCACACAATTATATCACAACCTATCTACCCACTTTGCATACGAAAACTCTGTTTGCAAAAGGAAATGCCTGTATTTGTAGATATGCAGGCTGTTTAACAAAAAAGGTTACCCTCAAAATGGCAATATTTAAAGGATTGTCATAATCAACTATGGTCCTAAGTTTAGGTTAAGATTTCCAGACTTGCAAACATCAAAATATACTCCCTAATTTTCACATATTAGAATGTAACTGTCTACTTGCATTTTCAGTTTCAGATTTCAGATCTGTTTATAGTAAAAAATATAAACAGACAGCATAAACTACACCGATTTTCAGTTTTAGCAAATAAGTTACGGACTCATGCAAGAAAAAAAAATGAAAGCTACAACATTCAAGTAATTTTCTATACGAAAGGAGGGCAAAAGAGTGAAACAGACTGCTCAGGGAGTTACAAAATCTCCCCTTTACCGCGGATTTTTCAAGAGGTGGTTGGATAAGCACCGACTGGTCAGGCATGATTTAGGAACAGCATTTCTGCAGGAGGTTGGGCCAGATGGCCCTCAAGGTCCCTTCCAACCCTATGATTCTATGATTTCAGTGAACTTACTTAATGATATGAGAGCAAATCCATTAATTGTGCATGTTGGGAGGGAAAGCAGGGCAAGTATTTAAGACAAATAATACACAAAATATTTTTATCTGGATTTGAATCTAACAGCCTCTGTTTAAGTACATCCACTTCCATTCTAATGTAGGAATCAGAACTCCACTATAAAAACTTACCAACACAACAGCTAACCTCTCTCACATTTTAAGCTATTTTCATACCAAGGCAAACATCCAAGCTTATCATTAAATTAACTCCCCCTTCCACTAAAAAAAGTTCGTAAAAATGTTATTTGAATAAGGATATGGTGGTAGCCTTTAATTCATGACAACGTCAAATAAGTTTATGTAGGTTTGTACAAAACAGAACAGAGGTGGGCTGATAGGGAAAAAAGCTTCCTTAAAACAAATACAAACAGCAAGAGAATAAATTGTTCTGTGTATAGATGCTCTCTCCTCCTTTCCACGCAGCCCAGAATGCACAGTAACCAGCTTGTGCATTCGCCTACTTTACAGCAATGTTTCATCATTATATAGTCACAGATCAGTAAATCTGAAAGTCTCTAAATTTATGTTAAAACAACAGTAGTTATATATTTCTCCTTAAGGCTTCCAGTACATCAGCACTGGTATTTAAAAAAGTAACAACTTTAAACTACAAAAGCCCTCAGGGCTTGAAACATGAATATTTCTCCATGCTATGGAGAGGGAGAAAAAACCCCACAAAAAACAAGCAACAAACAAGAGATATTAAGCTTTTGAATAAGTTCGAAGAATGCCTTGAATTTTAAAGCTTGTCTAGCTTTATTCTAACCATGAAGTTGGCCCAAGAAAAGATATCACCCCCCAAAATCCTTGTTTCTTACATAAGCCTGTGATTTAATATTTACATAATTGCAGATAACAAAACTATGGATAAGTATCAGGCCTGAAAGCTTATTTTCAAATTTTAACCAGAATTAACTAAGCCAAACCTTAAATGTAACTTAAATTTTGCAACAAAAGAACTCTCTCCACAGAAGCCTCAAGTTTTAATGGCAAAATCAGAACCATAACTGATACTACTAGCTTTAGAAGAGACCTCTGCAGACACTTTTTACTTTAAACTTTTTGTATAAAATTCTGGTTGCCTTAAAAAAAAAAAATGTTCTTAATCCCTCAAAAAACCAAAACCAAACCAAAACAAACAAACTAGAGACCAGAAAGACTTGAAGCTGTTTAACTTCCAACTTTATGCTTATGATTAATCATGGATAATCCAAACTACTATGGGAAACCCATTTAGATAGGACTTCATTTCTTTGTGACATACATATAAGAGTTGATGCTAAGTTCTAGAATATGAATAAAATGTTTTCTAATTTTCAACAAATTCCTGGTCCAAAAGTAAAATTGGACCCCACCCTTTCTAATTCCCACCTAAACCAACTACTGCAATTGCAGGTCTGAAATATTCTAAAACATATCTGAAGACAAACTACTTTTGTTGACAATTTATTCTGAAACTATCTTTAACGCATCTCCCCAGTTTGGATCAGAAGACAGGCTTGTCACGTCAGATAAAACTGCTCAGCTTGTAATCTATGCTTCTATTTTTCCTGCAGCTGGCAGGAAAATGCAGCATATTAAGCATTACCAGTAATTCCTTTCTAGATGCACCACAATCAGTTTAAGGGAAAAAAGTGTACTGAAATGGAAAATTAGACACCTGCATATCACGGAAGTTAGCCACCCACACTGGAACAGAAGTGCTACAAGGGGGAATCTAACTTTCTGTCTAGGTATTTATATCCCCTTCATCGTGACAGATTCCAAATGCCCGCACGAACAAGACTAACCTCTTTGAAATGGCAACCATGCCCTCTATGTTTACAGAATGCCAAGCATACTGTTAGTGCTCACTAAATAATAATCCAAGAACATCCCTTCACAGGGAACATCCCTTGTGCCCTCTCCCAACACTACATTATAAAACACCAGCCACACCCACCCGTGATGTCACCAGCATTACACAACCTGTCCCCCTCCATGCCCGGACGGCTTATGCAACTAGGCCCAGCCTGCTGGCAATTGTCTTGGTGACACCGGTAAGAGAGAAAGTAATTTGGAAACAAGGTAAATAGAGCAGCCACTGTCCAATAATGTCCACCACAGAAGTGGGGGAGACTGATGTGCAAGACGACACCTGGCTGCCCTGCTGCCCCAGCCCTGCTTCCACACCACCGATCACCAGACGCATCCCTTTACATAAAGCCAGAAGGGGCGGTGGTGCCTGCAGGCAGCGTGGGAAGGACCAGGTCTGGGAACACTGGAAAACTTGGGCTTGTCA